TGTTCCTCCACCGCTGCTCTGGCCCCAGGCGTCGAGGGGATCTGTGCGACGCCGTGGGGCAGGAGGCGCTCGACGCTGGTCTTGTGGTGAGGGTGCTGGCCTACGACCTGTCGATCTATGACGGCCATGACCTCACCAGCGCCGGTCTGGCGCGAGAGCTGCGGGCGCTGTGCAGCAGCGGAGACGTCGTGGGTTTCTTCGCTGGGCCACCTTGCTCCACGGTGGGCCGCGCCAGGCACCGCCCTCTGGCGAGGGGCCGAGGCCCGCGGCCGTTGCGAGCTAGGGCAGCGCCTTTGCTGCCGCTCCCAGGACTGTCTGATGTGGAGAAGCGAGCTTGCGCACTGGGAACGCATCTCTTCTTGTTTCGCCTCGAGCCCTTCACCCGTGTCATCTTGTGTGGAGGTTGGGCAGGACAGGAGCATCCCCAGGATCCAGGTCGTGAGCCATATCCGTCTTTCTGGTGTGCATTGGAGGTGGTGAACTGGGTGTCGGAGTTCGGGCTACGCATTGTGTCGTTCGATCAGTGCCGCTATGGTGGGTTATCTCAGAAGCCGACATCCTTCGTCACGAATGACATCTATCTGAGGGGGACTCTGGGGCTTCGCTGCAATCGCCGTCATCGCCATCGGGGGCTCTACGGGCTCGCGCCAGGAGGAGGTTTTGTCACTGCTCGACTCGCTCGTTATCCATCGCAGCATGGCAGGCTCTGGCTCTCTCGTGTGTGCAGGCTCGCGCGAGGGCGCTGGGCAGCCCAGTCATGGCCGAGGATCCTGGCAGGCGCCGTGGGCGCATCATTACCTTTTTGATGAGTGCGCTGAAGCCTGTGACCACGCAGAGGTACGCCGCGGCCCTCAGCGCGTTCAGCTGTGACCTGGAGGCGCTGGGCCTTGGGCTCGACCAGCTGACCGAGGAGGAGCTCGACTGGCTGCTGGCTGAGCGCGTAATGAACCTCTTCGAGGAGTCGGGTGGCGTGGAGGGCTTGGGGTCAGCCTCCACTCTGCTGGCGGCCTTTGCGAAGGCCAACCCTCGTCACCACTGCCGCGCGGCCTGGAAGGCGCTGGGCGTGTGGCGGCAGCGGCGGCCGCCGCTGCAGGCGCCAGCCATGCCGGCAGTGCTCGCGCTCGGGGTCGTGAACTGGCTGGTGCTGGTCGGGGAGTGTGGCTGCGCCGCGGCGGCACTGTTCTGCTTCGCTGGCCTTCTCCGCGCCTCGGAGGCACAGACGCCGGAAGGCTCTTCGTGGGTGCGTACCCCTTCTGGCTATGTGGCGCTTCTGGGTCGCGCGAAGCGTGGAGCCGAGCAGAAAGTGCTGTTTGAGGAGCCCTCCACCGTCGCCTGGTTCGATCACCATGCGTTCCGTTCCTTTGCAAAGCCTGGTGACAGAGTTTGCCCAGTGTCTTACCCTCGGTTCCAGCGCTGGCTCCAGAAGGCTGCGGATGCGCTGGGGTTCGGCGCAGTGCGCTGGACAAGTCATGGACTGCGCCGTGGAGGCGCCACTGAGTTGCTCGCAAGAGGCGTGCCGCTCGCTGACATCATGCTGTTCGGAAGGTGGCTTTCAGATCGCTCTGCTCGAGAGTGCTTGCGGCGCGGGAAGGTGAGTTTGACTCGATTTGGAGTGGACATTCCTGCAGATGCCTGGTCTCGTGCGTTCAGATATTGCCGGATTGGTTCACAAGTCTGGGGAGTCCCCCGAAGTGAGTGAGATCGTGCACATTTTTTCTTTCAGTTCTTTCTTCAGAGTGTATTCTACCTATCGCTTGTTTGGGGAGTGTGGCGGGGCCGTGGCCCCCGCAGGCTGATCATTGCATTGCCGTGGCAATTCAGTTCCTTGATAATGTTGCGTTCTCAGTTTTATCTGCGCGCCTCGCGTGCTGCCCCTGAGAAGGGTCGGAGAGAATAGGTGTTTCGGTCATTCTAAAAAAGGTAGAGCTTGCTAGATGGTTTTCTGAATGTCCTGCGATACATCTCATCTCGTCTCGACTTTGGACAGACAGTCTCTGTTCGTTGTAATTTTTGGCCCCGCTGCGGTCCCGCCCACCCGTGGTGGTCCAAGCTCGAGAGAGGAGTGCGCAGGACCAGGTGCATGCTCCGTGGCGGGGCCGTGGTCCCCGCAGGCTGATCATTGCATTGCCGTGGCAATTCAGTTCCTTGATAAATTTGTGTTCTCAATTTTATATGTGCGCTTCGCGTTCTGCCTCCCCTGAAAAAAAAGGGTCGGAGAGAATAGGTGTTTAGGCCATTCTTAAATATAGATATATACACACAGTTTGCAATAATAGTACGGATTCCCATGGTCAGCGTCGGAGACATGGCGTTTTGGAAGGATTCAGGATTATGCGGCTACGTTGGTTCGCGGTGTTGAAGTCCAAGGATGGCGTTCTGGCGCGATTCAGGATCTTCAAGACGAAATAGCAAAGGTGATCCGTAGCGTTGGAGTCCCGTGAACACTGTTCTGGCATGCTTCAGGGTCTTCAAACCGTTGTTTTCCAACGAGGCGGTTCCCTCAATGGAAATGAACCGTGGTAGGGGCCTGTGAAGAGGGAGCTTGGAGGGAGGGTTTATCCCAACATCGTTGATGACCCTTGGGTTTACAGTGGTCCTCCTCCTCCTCCTCCTTCCTCGTCCTCCTTCCCCTCTTCCTCCTCCGCCTCCACACCGTCCTCCTCCTCCTCCTCCTCCTCCTCCTCCTCCTCCTCCTCCTCCTCCTCCTCTTCCTCATTCTCCTCCTCCTCGTGCCTTGCCTGTCTCCAGCGTTCGCCATCCGCGCTCATCATGTCCCTCCTCACGGTCCGCCGCATCCCTGTCACCTGTCCACCTCGCGTCGCTTGCAACGCGTGCCCTCGCTCCCAGACTTCGCGATCGCAATTGCTCGTCTGGGTATTGCGCAGGTCCACATCGGAGATGGCTGCGCCATCGGTTCCAAGCGCCTCCCTTGGATCTGTATCCCTATGCCTGGACTTCAGGCCCACTGGTTGAGCGCTTAACGATGCGCGCTAGGGTTCGGGACCCATTCAACATCCAGCCACTTGGGGACCTTCCACCCCTACATGAAGAGTATCGTCTTAAAGTCCTCCTCCTCCTCCTCCTCCGCCTCCTCCTCCTTTCACCCATGCCTCCTCCCCCTCCTCCTCCTCCTCCTCCTCCTCCTTATCCTCCTCCCCCTCCTTCTGCTTTTGCTGCTTCTCCCTCCTCCTTTTGTCCTCCCCTCCGCCTCCCGTCCTCCTCCTCCTCCTCCTTCATTCCTTTGCCTTGTAGATGACTTCCCCGTGTCGCACCCCGAGGCTGGTCGACAGGGCGGGCCGGGCTTTTTGCTTGGGACTTCGTCACCATGTATGGTTTTGGTACTGACAAATAACGACCGCTTCGCCTTGGCGCCGCGCATGTTCGCTCTGACACTTTGCAGGGCGGGTGGTTGTCAAGGTGTGGCTCTCGCCTTAGCGCCGCGCGCATTTGCTTTAAACTTTTGCAGAAGCTTCACGGATTGAGGGCGGGCCGTTTTCAAAGTGTGGCTCTCGCCTTAGCATCGCGCGCATTCGTTTTGCATATTCGCAGGCGTTTCACGGATTGAGGGCTGTTCATGTTCGAGATGTGATTGCTTTGGCGCTGCGCGCATTCAACATTAGCAGGGTCTTCACGGATTGAGGGCGGGTGGTTTTCAAAGTGTGGCTCTCGTCTTAGCTCCGCGCGCATTCGTTCTAACATTTTGCAACAGCTTCACGGATTGAGGGCGGGCCGTTTTAAAAGTGTGGCTCTCGCCTTAACATCGCGCACAATTGTTTTGCAGGAGTTTCACGGATTGAGGGCTGTTCATTTTCAAAATGTGATTATTGCTTTGGCCGCGCGCAATCAACATTGTAAGAGCTTCACGGATCGAGTTCTGGCCATTTTCAAAATATGGTTCTCGCCCGAGCGCCGTGCACATTCGTTTTGCACATTGGCAAACGTTTCACGTATTGAGGGCGGGTGGTTTTCAAGGTGTGGCTCTCGCCGTAGCGCCGCGCGCATTCGTTTCAACAAAGTGAATGTGTTATATCGTTCATTGATTTTCATTGTTGACTTGTCAGAAATGGTGTTTTCGAACGACTCAGGGTTCTCAGGGCGCAACCCTTCTGTTGACTCGCTGTGTTGAAGTCCCAAGAATGGTGCTCTGGCACGATCCAGTATCGCCAATACGTAACAGTCAAGTTAACTCGTGGCGTTAAAGTCCTGATGTTCTGGCACTCTTCAAAATGTTCACAGGGTTGTCCCCCCACGAGGCAATTCCTTCAGTGAAAATGACCCATTTCAGGGGCCTATGACGAGGAGTCTTGGAGGGAGGGTGTATTTCAACATTTTGATGAGTCTTGGGTTTGCATACATATGCCCTCCTCCTCGCCGTCGTCCTCCTCCTCCTCCTCTCCCAACTCCTCAGGCCTGGCCCGACTCATCCGGTCCGGTTTTCCGGTCCGGTCTTCGGCCACCCGGGCGCCAGATAATCCGGGCTGCGTAATCCATCCCAGGGCCCGGGCACGACATTAATTACGCTTTCCGACTGGACAAGACAGATCGGGGGGGCCCCTGGAGGCCGAAAGTGGCGAAACGCCAGCCAACTCGACTTTTTCGGGCCGCTGGAGGTTCACGCAGTCGCATTTAAGGAGGGGGATACTGGAGAGTCCCCGTCATCCTCGGGTCGTGGATGGCCGCAGAGTCCCGTAAGCTGCGAACAGATGTCCAGGACCCGTTTCCCTCAGGACCCGCTTCTATCATGCTCTTTGTTTGGGTGTCGCTGGCGCCCTCCTCGACCGGGGGAGGAGACCACGGGTGCCCCGAAACAGCCCGATCGGCTGCCGGGGCGCGAAGATGATCGCGCTGCGGGCGTCGCGGTCTGGGCCAGCGCGGTGGCCCTTCTGCAAGAGGGCGGTGCGAGGAGCGAAGGCGCGAAGGTAACCGCGCGTCGCGCATCGCGGAGCTTGCCGCGCGGAGTTGGGTGGCCCAGAAGCCGCGAGCGCCGCGCCTGCCGGGAGGCCGTGGCCGGCGGTGCCTCTGTCGGGAGGAGTGGAACCGCATCAGGCCGTGCGCCGACGTGACCCAGGAGAGCGCCACGGCCGGGCCCCCGAAAGCAAAACGGCGACGGCGGCGGCGGCGGCGACGACGGCGATGATAGAGCCAGGTGGAGGTTTTTCGGGGCCGTTTTGGCCATCGGGAGGCTTCCCGAGGCCTCTGGAAGCGTCTGGGGACCTCGGGGACCCAGAGAGACTCTCCGCGTCGTCGTCGTCGTCGTCGTCGTCGTCGTCGTCGTCGTCGTCGTCGTCGTCGTGTGTCGGAGGTTTCCGGGTGTTTCTGGAGATATTTTCGTCGCTACGGCGTGGTCGGAATTCTGGATGGGCCCAGGGGCTTGCTTTGCACATTGTTCAGCCAGGGCGGCGAGCCGGAGGCTTCCAAAGGGGCTTCAGGCAGAAGTTGCTGTCAGACGTTTGTTTGGGGGGAGCCTTCTGGCTAGCGGGTCTGTTCGACCCTAGTTCGATTCTAGTCGTACTCTAGTTCGACTCAGGTTCGACTCGGTTTTGGTTCAAGTCAACGGACGTTCGACGCAGCATCGTCGCATGAGTGAAGCGAGTGCCTCCAGGAAGGTCCCAAGAACGAGCATCGAAGGGTTGGACCGTCCCCAGAGTCTGATCCCCTTCTCCAGCCTTGGAAGATAGGGTTCTACGGAGGGGGCCGTACCAACCCCCCTTTGGCCTCAGCCCCGTTTGGAACGCTCCAGGCGAGGTGAGGGATCAGCACGGGTCGCCCCAGCGCCCAGACTTTCGACAAGTTGCGATTTAAGGATCGTGCTGGGCTGTGCTGGTGTGCGCGTGAGTGGCTTCTGCCGCCTCCGCGCGCACCGCTGTCGTTGGCTTTCGTGGCCCTCTGGGCCAGTCATGGTCGGATGGCCATCCGCCCAGCTAGTCGAGCCTCAGGCCTGCGCTGTCTGCGTCTCCGCCCACTGAAGCGTTTCGAAGGGCCTGTGCCAGGTTCCAGGCCCGCTTTTCTTTTTCCCACCCCAATTTCATTACGTACACCTTGCCCCCCTGCCCCCTCTTTGAGGATGAAAGTTGGGGGAAGGCGCCCCTGAATCGGACTCGAAACCTAGCCCCAGCCTTGGACCTGGCTGGGACGACGATCCTGACCTTGACCCCGTCACTAGCGCTGGCCTTGAGCCTGATCATGACCCTAACCTACCTTGCCATCACGTGCTGTCCTTGCTTGCCCTTCCTCTGCACAGTCCTGCACATCCCGACGCTACCCTACCTTGCTCTGGCCTGCTCCGCCCCACCTTGCCATCTTCCACCTCAAATGAGCCCTGCCCTGGCCTAGCCCATACCAGCTTACCGATCATATCCAACCCTTTGTCGCTACACCGTTCGGGGTCTGCGTCCTCCTCTCTGTCCTCTCCCCTCTTGCGCTCTAGTGCTCGATCTCTCAGCTGTCTCATTCATGTTTCTCTGGGCCTGTCCTCTCCTCGTATCGCCCCGCCCTCCCGCCTCCCATGCAGTGGGCATGTCGAGGGAGAAACTGGCCTGTCAGAAGGTGCTCCATGGAAGTTTCTTGCTCTACGATGGCCCTGCAGGGCCCCCGATGCCCTGGGGCACCCGAGGGAGCTCAAAGCTCGACGACGAACGTGCCCCTACAGATTTCTTGTAGCAGGATTTCTCATCGTATGTGTCCACTGTATCAGGTTCTGGTCTGTGTTCCTCTCGCCGGCCCTCAGCTAACCTCCCCTTGCTCGAGCCCTTCCCGCGTGCATCTGTGAGGAGACGAAGTTCATCAGCGGCACGCTGCTGACGCTGACGTCCACGGGATGCGCGGGGGGTGGCGGGATTTGGAGTGTTGGGGGATCGGGCAGGCAAGCGGATTGAAGGGGCGATCGTACAGCAGGTTCGCGTTGTGTCGACGCGGCGACGACCCCGCCGCGGGCGTTGAACGCCGCCAGTGGCTCATATTCGGCCAATATGGAAGGATCTGGCGATCGAAAAGCCACCGATTGTTATCGTTGAACAATCCACGCGGTGTCAAAAACCAACGCCGGGGTCGTCACAACATGACCCTGCCGTATTGCATCGGGCCAGTGCAAAAGAAACAACAGGTCACGTCCGAGCTTGCGCATGCTCTCTTGATTACCAACTCCTTCGAGTCCGAGGCTGGCATGACCACAGGAGTCAACATTTACTGTCTGCCAAGACCTCAGCGAAAAGCAGCCTGACAGCATCTCTGAGCTCAGGAGGCAGCGGCGCAGCATCCGATTCCTGGCAGGGCCCTCTTGGGGCCATCTTGGGCCCCTCTTGGGGCCGTCTTGGGGCTCTCTCGGCCCTGGAGGGTCTTTTGATGCCATCTTGGAGGCTATCGATCAAAGGAGGGGGGGTCTCCGCTGTTAGCTCCTGCCCCTGGGGACATCAAAATCGTTTCTTGTGGCCCTCTTGGGGCGCTCTTGGGCCGCTTTTGAGCGCTCTTGCGGCCGACTGGAGGGCCTCTTGGGCCCCTCGTGGGCCTCTCCTGCTTAGATGGGTGCGGATACTATAAAACACTAAATATATCTATTGTGCACTATAGGATCCTATCAGCATGCATTTAAAAATAAGAAAAATAGTAAACTATAGTGAAAAATAGTGAAAGCAATAGTGTTATATAGTGAAAATAGTAAAAATAGCGAAACATAGTGAAAACTAGTGAAACAAATAATAGTGAAAATGAGAAAATATGCAAATTCTTAGAACAATCACAAACCAGCTTGCTTCTCTTCCTTTTTCTCCTGACTTTCCGCAGCGGCAGACCGCTTTTACATTGCAAGTTGCACAGTGCAGCGGTTTGGCCGCTTCAGAACTTCCCTTTTTTAATCACGCCCAGAACGTTGCGCTCCAACGGGGGAGGGGAGGTTAAGGAGAAGGAGGAGGGAGGGCAAATGCGTTCGAATCCCTGGATGACAACCTCTTGTCGCGCTCTGGGCCCGCGCAAGGCGTCCATGTAGCCCCTGAGATGACAATGGCAGCGGCAAAACTGAAGGGGACCAAGAAGCTGAAAAGGCAAAGCGGTCGCACCGCTCCTCCTCCTCCTCCTTTTTTCCTCCTCCTCCTCTTCCTTTTCGTCCTCCTTTTGGATAACCTGCAAAACGGTCATTCCCAGAATCAGAATTTAAGGGGCAAAGCGGACGCGCCGCTGTTCCTCTTCCTCCTACCCACTCATTCACTCATCGTCACTCGGGACAGGCCTTCCTACGTCCTCTCCCCCTTGTCCTCATTCGCCTGCCTCCTCAGCCTACCTCCTGCTCTTACTCATCCTCCTGATCCTCTACCTCCTCGTCTGGCTGGCCTCTCGGCCCCCCACATCCCCCCTATCGCGCGCGAAGGATAGGGGATATGAGGGGGCCAAGCGGCCGCAACGCTCTTCCTGCATGGTCCTCCGCCTCGGTCCCGCGCCCTTCCTCACCTCCTCGTCATCCCTCCTCCTCTTCCTCTTCCTCCTCTTATCCTTCCTCCTACTACCACCTCCTCCCCGAAATCCTTGCTTCCTGCCTCACCCTCCTCCGCCCTCTCCCTCATTTCTTCCCACGCCTACAACCTCTGATAGCCTTGCAAAGTGGCAAAGCGGTCGGCGCCGCTCCGATTGTCTTTCCTCCTCCTCCTCCTTGCCCCCTTGTCTTCCCTTGGGTAGCCTCGCGAAGCGGTCGCGCCGCTAAATCTCAGGAAGTGCTCTGGCAAGTGCAGTCGCGCCAGCGCTCGACGCTTGCAGGCACTTCGGCGCCTGCGGGTACTTATGCCATATCCACCAATAACAGCGTTCCAGAAGCCTCTTATGTCCAGAGAGGCTGCGCCATGAAGGAGTCGCACTGCGCCAACTTCGGGGCGTCGCTCCTTCGCCACCGTGAGGCGCTGGGCAACACCTGGCAAATAAAATGCAACTCCTGAACAATCAACGCCACGTCGCCGCCTTCCTCGGCACCGCCGATGATAAAATAGCGCTTCTCACCAATACGCAGAATATCTCCAGCTGATATGCGAGAGCCACCCGCGAGAACGGCAGTCGAAACGTGCATGACGTCGTTGTACTTGGTGCCGCACACCAAGGCATTCCCAAATGAAACATTATGTTGCGCATCGTGGCACTGAAGGGCAATAGCTCGGGTCAGTAATGATTTCTCGACGCACCGCGTGTTGTCGATGAATTCAGCGACCCGCCGTGATTTTTTATGCTACCTCTCCGTCACAAGCGTATCAAGTGCGAACCCATCCCTGAGAACCTGTCGCGGCAGGTGCCAGCAGAAATGAAACTTAGGGATGCACATGCCGCAACCACCGTACGCAGACTCGAAAGCCACGGCGTGGTCGCGGAGCGCCACGGCCCAAGCATCTGCCACAGCCGCGCCCCTCTCGGCCAGCAAATACAGAAAAATTGTTTTGGCCAGCGCGGCAAAGGAAGCCAGCTCCTTTGCAAAGTCCAGCTTGAACTGAGCGGACCCAGCGGTAAGTACATCGAGAGCGTACCGAATGAGCGATACGGCCGCGATGATCTCGCTCGCCGTGGCGCTGTATTTCTTGCTGGTCTGCAAGTGATTTTGCCGCTGGTCGCCGAAAAGCCCGTTGGCGTCCAGCATGCCGCTGGTCGCTGAAAAGCTGCAAGTCTGCCACTGCGCGCTGGCGATGTCCCTGAAGCGCTCCAACGTCAGGCCGACGGCAGCGAGGCGGCACAGAAACTCACTCAGTTCAATCTGAGTCGGTATCACCCTAACATACTTATAATACTATATGTGCTTCGCCCCCCCGGAGGCGACGCGCGCACCGAGAAATCTTATAGTATATGCGTCGTGGGGGGCGCTTTCTGGCCACACCGCTCGGGAAACGATTTACTACAAGATGGGTATACTATATGTTCGGGTCGGACGCGCGCCTCCAAGGAGGACATATAGTACTAGTATGTCTTTGTGCTTCCATGAGCGATCCTCACTTTATGAGTTCATGCAGTGTGCATGTGTCGTACGTGGCATTGACAGCGCCCGGGCTGGCGAAGCTCAGCGCCAATAGCAAACCATTCTGGGCAACGTCATTAACGCGATGCAATATCTGCCAATCCTCCTCGAACGGCCCTTGGGCCTCAGCAGCGTGGTCTGCAGACGCTGTTCGGAGGTCGCGGAGAAGAACAGGGTCCAGCCGCGGCGCGCGCGTCGAACAGGTTGGGATCAGAGCACGAGATGTGCACCGGCGTGCTCGCCCTGTCACGCGCCGGCAGCAGGGGCCCCGAGTGGTCGTAGATGCCGTGCGCATTCTTGCGCAGAGCGCAAGGAATTACGCCAACGGCGCCCTTCAAGCGCAAGGCATTGTTAGCGCCATCTTCGTCGTAAAGCAGGTTCGACAGCTTAAAGAAGATGAGCGCAGGGGCGCCGCCAGGCCCAGTGCCATCAATGAGGATGCCCCTCTGCGACGCGCTGTCTGGGCCAATGAAAAGTCGTTGCAACAGTTGGCGAACGACTCCAGACATCTTGCCAGCAACCTCATCGACCACTGTGTGGCAAACAAAAGCGAGAGGCAACCAAGCGTCCTCGCTCGACACCGCGTCAGGGCCGAAGGAGCGAAAGCTCCCGTAAAACGAGAGCGTCTTGCGTTTGTTATCTTGCCGCAAGACATTGCCTGGCACGAACTCATCGAAGTGCAAGATGAAGTCCCGCGGCGCCGCCGGGGGGCACGGGAATTTTCTTAAAGTTGTGGGCGGCAAATTTCTGAAGCTCGCAGATTCGGAAGCGCAGTGTTGAAGGAGGCTGGCGAAATTGACGACGGGCATGTCGAAGGCCGCGCCGCTTGCCAAGTTCAGCTGCATTGGCGCATCCAGAAATGCTGACGCGAATTCCTCGTGAGCCTTTCTGATCCCCCACTTCGCCATGTCGTCAATGATCTCTGGCTGCTCCTTCAAGCGCGCAATGCCGATCGCTGCCGTGTTCGGCGCTTTAAACGAGGCAACCAGCGGAGCCAATACGCGCGACCTCTTGGAGACGTCCTCGCCCGCATCGGGGATTGGACGTTTCGTCGGAGATGAGGCTGGCTCGAGCAAAGGCTGGCTCGAGCCAGAGCTGGCTCGGGCGAAAGCTGGTCTGAGCCAGCGCCACGGTTGAGGCGGCGCTGAGCGGAGGCATTGGCACGAGCGTGCAGGCGCAACGAAGCGGTCAGACCGCTGCGCTGATGCACATACAAGCGAAGCGGCAATGCCGCTGCAAGTTGAGAAGGACATCACTATAGCAAAGCGGCAATGCCGCTGCAATGCAACTACAAGTAAAGCGGCAATGCCGCTGCAAGTGAAACCGTCGCCATTAGCAAAGCGGCAATGCCGCTGCTGCGTGCGACAACATCACGATGCATTCCGCGGCTGGGGAGGGGGGATAAGCGGTTAACTCGCGCAGGAGGGGGCGGGGGGGAGGGGGGAAGGAAGAGGGGGGGGGGGGGGGGGAGGAGGAGGGAAGCGCGTTTGCTATGGGAACTGCATCGGCGCGGACTGCTGAGAGGAGCAACGCAGCAGCTTCCGATGTATACGACGCTAACAAGAGGAGCAACGAGCTCCTTATATATCCCACGCGAGAGCGGCTACGTCCGCTGTGTGCCCCTGCAAGCACGCTCAGAAGTCCAGGTAGCTGCCGCCACGGTCATGCCATCGGCAACCAACCCGTCGATGGAGACTCACCCCGAAGTGATCTGGCCAGAGCCCCAGCGGATCACTTCTTCTTGGCCCACGACTGCGTCTCGAAAGCAGCCTTGATATGATTCGTCCACGCTGTCATGTAGGTGACAGCCGTCTTAACCTCCTCCTCCTTGACGTCTGGGACGACATCCTCGCCCTCCAGGCACTTGTTGCAATGCTCCACAACATCATTCAGACACTTATGTTTGTTGGTGGCCTCCTCAGTGTACGTCGTCGGCGCCTGAAATGAGAGGGGGCGACTCCCCCCTCCTCCTCCCCCTCCTCCTCCTCCTCCACCTCTTCCTTCTCCTCCTCCTCTGCCTCCTCCTCCTAGTCCGCCTCCTCCTCCTCATCTCCCTCCTCCTCCCCATCGTCAGATCCGATCTGACTCCGTCGAGCCTTCTTCGCGCGCTCATCGCGCAGAAGATCCCCCGTCTTCTTCAGCAAAGGCTTCACCGCCAACAGCACCCTGTTAACGACATGCAAGCCCTTGGTGCGCTTCTTCCGGTCCTCCCTTTTGCGGGCTGCCTGCTCTTTGCCTGCCCATGGCTTTCTGAATATTCTCGGCTTCGCGGGCCGCCTACTTCTCTGCTGCGAGCTCCGCCTTGCGCTTGGCCGCAAGCTCCTTTGGGCTGAGGCCCGCGTCAGACCCTGAAAGCTCTTCCTCGTCATCGTTCTTGTCCTTCTTGTTATTCTTGTCCTTCTTGCTTTTCTTGTCCTTCTTTCCCTTCTTGCCCTTCTCGCCCTACTTATTTTTCTTTTCCTTGTCGGAGCTCGAGGAGCTGGAGCTGCTGCTGCTGTCGCTGCTGCTGCTGCTGCGCTGGCGCTTCTTTGAGCCTTTCTGCTTCGGCAGCTCCGCTGGGGCCTCCTCGAGCGCTGCTGCTGCTCCTGCCGCTGTTGCGCTCTGCGGCTTTTCAGCTTCCTCGGCAGCCTCCAGGAAGGCTGACGCTCTGCGCTTGCGATTGCGGCCAACTTTCTTATCCTGGCCTCCGAGATCTCGTGGATCTGAACTCGGTGCGTCTTCCCGAGAACTGGATGATCCTCGATGTCAGCAGCCTGCGTTTTCTCCTCAGTATATTTCGTGTTGTATCCCAGCTTCTCGCGCACAGACAAGGGCAGGAATTGCCCAGTGTGTGCCCCCGCGATGCGCTTCATGCGCACATTCATCAGCATCCCCTTTCATCGCGTCGCGGCAAGCAGCAGCGGCTGACCCGCAATTCTGGTAGAAGCGATCCTGCCCCTCCGCGGTGAGCTCGTCGAACTCCGCAATCGGCCACCCGCCGAAAATCCTTCGAAGTGTTTGGTCGCGTACCCTGCACGTGGCGCACGTGATGACCGTGCCGCCACGGGTGATCTTACAACCCTGTGCAAGCGGATTCGTTCCCTTCTTGCACATGGAGCATTTCGGGTCGCCCTGCGAGAGCAGGGCCTCAACCTCCCCCCCCCTCTCGTCGTCGTCCGACAGCTGCTCCGCTGGCACGTCCTCCTCTTCAGCCTCCTCGCCCGCCTCCTCTTCAGCCTCCTCCTTTGTTGCCTCTTTGTCAGGCAGGGGGTCCCTTGTTGCCTCTTTGTCAGGCTTTGTCGCCTCCTTGGTTGCCTCGGGCTGGGGCGGACAGGGCGGGCGGGCGTCGCTCGGGGATTCTGCCGGCGCGACCTCGGGGGCGCGGGCGACGGGCTCGCCGGCGGGTTCGCCGACAGGCTCGCCTGCTGCTGGCTGAAGGCTGCCTGCGCCAGCGCCCCCCGCCTCTTCGGTTGGCGCCTCCTGGCTGCCTGCCGCGGTCTGGCGCTGGAAGAGCGACTGCAGCACGTTCTGAGCTGCCACTGGTGCCGCGGGAGCAGGGCTGTCGTCGGAGAAGCTGGGCAAGGTCGCCATCATCGCGTTGGCGATGACCTGTACTGCGTCTGCTGCATCAGTAGCATCGCCTGAAGAGGTGCGGGGAAGGGGGGCCGGGTGCCAAGCGGTCACGCCGCTGCGCCTGGATGGAGAGATGATATGAGGGCATGAGAAAAGAAGCGGCATGATCGCCGCCATCGTCGCAGGGCAGCGAGGCAACCTTTCCTGGACGCCGCTTCTTCATCACGCGCTTGGACGCCATGGCGTGCGCGGGAGAACTCCCGACGAAGGCAGTCGCCTCGGGAAGCCCTCCAAGTGGCTGCGAACGGGAAGCGCGAACGCGGGAAGCGACCGCGCCGCTGAATTTGCAGAGCACAGCGGGCAGACCGCTGAGGAGGGGGGGGGCGGGGGAGGACGAGAGTGAGAAGGGAGGAGCGAGGGGGAGGAAAGGAAAAAAAAAGGAGGAACAAGGAGGAAAGGGAAAAAAGGAAAGGAAGAAGGAGAAGGAGGGGATGGGAAAGGGGGAAACAGAGGAAATACATGCGAAAACTGCAGGGCAAGCGGCTGGGGCCCGACTGAGGAGTGAGGAGGAAAGAAGGAGGAGGGGGGGGGGCGAGAGGGAGAACCGAGTGGAGGTGTTGAGAGAGGAGGAGAGGTGACACGGAGGGGGAAAGGGTGGAGGAAGGGCCCCCCCCCCAAAAAAAAAAAAAAATCACTGAATCGTTGGTTTTCGGCCGCCCCACCCCCCCCCCCCCTCCCCCCCAGGGGCCGCGCAAAGCAAAGCGGTCGCACCGCTGAGGAGAACGCGGAAGGGGAGGAGGAGGAGGAGGAACTGCGCGCGGCGCCTCCTCGACGGGAGGCGTCGCCCTCCGCGGCGCTTTTTCTCTGCGGGCGCAGGCGGGGAGCGCAGCTCCCGATTCGAAACGCGCGGCGCGCGGATTCACTCAGCGAAGCCGTCGCCGCTGGTTGGCGTGCCTGTCCCTCTCGCCGTCCTGGGCAGCGCGCGCCTGAGCCGCGATCGCCGGGCGCTCGTCGACGAGCTTCGTGGCCGCGTCCGCGTCGACGGTGAGTAGCGCCTCACCTCAGTATCGGTTAACCTAACAACCCCATGTAGCCCCCCACCAGCCCGCCCCCTCCCGCCGCCCCCGACATGGGGATATGCCCCCCGAAACCCAAGGTATTCCGCCTATATCCCCATGTCGGGGGGTAAATCCCCTAGTGGAGAAAAGGCCACCGACATGGGGATAGGGTTCGGTTAAACGATGCTCATCACCGAAGCTCGCTCGGCAATTCCGAACGCACTGCAGGCAGCAGCGATGCCACCAGGAGCCGCCCTGCGCGAAGTGCCACGCGCCCACGTTGGCTGCGGGGCCGAGGGCGCCGCGCGTGGCGCAGCGAGCATCCCAGGCAGCCATTTAACGAATTCTCGAATTCGGCTGGGCGAATTCAAAAAACTTGAAGCCAAAAACGGCTGCGACGAAATCGTTGTCCTGTCCTCCTCCTCCTCCTCCCCCTCCTCCTCCTCCTCCTCCTCCCCCTCCTCCTCCTCCTCCTCCTCCTCCTCCTCCTCCTCCTCCTCCTCCTCCCCCTCCCCCTCCTCATCCCCCTCTTCCTCCTCCCATGCAAAGCGGTTGGGCCGCTGAGAAGCAGAATGGGGAGGCAGGAGGGAAGCGAACGCAAAGCGGCTGGCCCGCTGAGGAGGGAGGAGGACACGGATGAGGGAGGTGACGGAGGGCGCGGGGGAAGGGGGGGGGGAACAGTAGCCAGAGAAAACATACTAATAATCATAATAATAATTACCCGTGGCATAGACCTCATGCCTCCGACTGCGCTCCGGCCGGGCGCCTGCGCGGTCCTTGCCGCCCTGCGCAATCCGCTCCTGCAGGCGAACCCCTGAAGGAGGAGGAGGACGAGGAGAGGTACATGCCTACCTACTTACCTATGTGACATGTGTGTGCCGTACTGTAGTGTAGCTAGAATGTCGAATGTGTAGGGACAGACAGCTCAGTGAAAGCCAGCACTTGCAGCCTGCTTCAACAGCGCCACATGCCGCTCGTCCTCGAGATTGAGCGGTAACCCGGCAACGCGGACGTCATAGGATTTGCCAATTTCCTGCCAATATTCAGAGAGCGTCACCTTATACCAACTCATCTTGGGCCGTCCCACGCGGAGCGTCCCCACTTCGTGCTGCTTTAGTGTTGATGGGTTGAGCAACATAGTTTTCACAGGATCGTCGTCCCTGCTGGCAAGTATGGTTGCGAAGAATTTCCGCCGCATGCGCGCGTAGTATTCACTGAGCCTTTCAATGCGGTCTTCAGGCCGCTGGGCCTGCAACTGCTCGTTAGCGCGCGTGTATACATATGTGTTGCTGTGTTGTCTGTCAACATATGTCGTTGTAATCTTTAAAATTTGTCTGAGACCCTTCAACTGGAATGTGTCCAGGCGTTGCCGTGAGCTCTCCGTGAGCTGTGCCGACTCCAGGCCATATATGAGCTTCGAGCGTAGAACGGCATTGAATACTTGTAATTTCAATCGGACGGAGCAGTCTGAGCTTTTGAAAAACAAGCCAAGCTTTTTCCAGACCCCCATGCACACCGAAATGCGATGTCGCAGCTCCATCTGCGGGT